TACATGTATCAAAAAAAGTACTTTAGTACTTAATCGTTCAATATTGTCTCTATTAAGCGTCTTAAAATATTATTAGACCTTAACCAATTTTTCCACTAGAATTTAATATTCAGTGATTACCAAGTTATAAAAGATGCTTCAAGAACTAACAAAATGCCTTATTATCTTGAATAACTAATCAAAACCACAATCACCTTTACCTTTATCACTGGGTACTGGGATCTCTTCACTTGCTATTTTCTCCTCAGATTCAGCAGCTGTGTGAAAGCAAAGTTATTAATTACAATGCAGTATTTGCATAATTACAGACATTGTTCCTCCGTAGGCTGACAAATAAATGTAAATAAATAAAGTGGTCTGCAGGGTAAACCCGGCCCATGGCCTGCTAATAAGCCAGCAAAATGACCCAGTTACCTGTCAAGTTCATAGCACATGTTAAACAACGTAACCAGATGTGTCGTTTCTAAAAGGCAACTCATCGTCTTTACCTTCCTCAGTTGGCTTTTTGCGTTCAGGCTTGCTTTCTCCTTCTTGACCTGCAGAAGTACGATTGAAAAAGAAATTGTACTTATTGAATTATGTCCATTTGAATACTTGTAATATTGCAAAGTGAGCGAGAATTGTGGGTCGATCACCAGGGACAGCACAAAACCTGAATATTTGAGAATGCTGAAATAGCGCCTTAACCTCCTAAGGACTAATCAAGAACCACTCTCTCTCTCTCTCTTACCTTGGTCACTAGACACTGGAATTTCTTCACTCTCCATCTGCTTCTCCGATTCTCCAGCTACGTGAAAACGAAGTTGTTCATTAGAAAAAAATATTGATGCCTCTAAGGTTACGAATGAGATCTCATTGAGAATTACAGTCACTGTCACTGCATAGGCTAACACAAATGCCTTCATATAGATACAGGAGCCTTGACATACATCCGGCCCACTGTCTGCTATCGAGCCAGAAATCTCACCCAGCTAGTTGTTAAGTTAACAAACAGCTTGCCCTGTACGCGGGACTAAAAACAACATATGTTGGACAGTGTAAAGTTCCTGAAAACCAATTCATTCATTATACCTTTAATTGGCTCCTTGGGCTTAAACTTACGTTTCTCTTCTTGACCTGCACAAACAGATTTACAATAGATTGCATTAATCCAGTTATCTAAATTTGATTAAAAGCATCAGAACCTTCCATCAGAGTGTAAACTTTTACTGTCACATGTGTTCAAATACTACCTTCTTTTCTTCTTTAACTTCTTAAGAAAATTATAACTCGGGCTTCCGCAGGAAAGCCCGAGTCTGAAAATGCAAGCCGTTTTGGTCGCCAAAAGGGGGCTCATAGTCCCAGGCGGTCCTTGCGTAAACCGCGGAAACTGGGGATGAGAGTGCGAACCATTTGTGTTATCGTGAGCCCGCTCTTCGTAAACAACGTAATTTACAGAATGCTGTGTTTTGTGAAGACCGATTTGCAAATATTCCTGTCTTATAAGCTCATCCCACATGCAAACGCACACGCCGGTCGTGGAAGGCCCACGCTAAATGATGTCCAGTGTTTTCGGAATGGGCCGGTCCACGAACTTCATTGCTTGAAAGCTAGCCAAATGTGGAAAGTTCACACTAGTTCTCACGAGATAACAAATGAGCCATATGTGCGTTCAAACTACGAAAATACTGGCAATACTGTGACGGCCGATTTAACAACAAACTATGATGCTGAGACTAACGCCTCTCTTGCTGAAAAAATCAAGACTGTTCGTGAACACAACTTCGAAGCTGGCGCTAACAACAGCGAATTGGATAATGATACTGTCAGAGGCAACTTAAATAGTAAGGTTAAATATATAACCTTAGCCCTTCCGTTAAGTATCCTCTTTCTATCACTGGTTTTTATTGGGTTCAATACTTGTCAGGTACGATTTGGTATTTCGTACATGATCACTATTAACAATTGGTTCATGCATTAGCTTGCGTTCATCAAGACTTAAAGCACGGGGGAAGTTTGGAGAGCACGAAAGATGCCTAAGAGCTGCACGAGTCTTGAATGCTCTCCAAACTTCCCAAGTGCCTCACGTCTCGATGAACGCACAGCTGACACATAAACCAATTGTTTTATAACATATTCAATGCTGTAGTTTAGGCATAAAGGGCAGAAACTCTCTCTACTACTTTCGGAAAAGTATTACGCTATGCTTCAATGACACGTCTTAAATTGTTCAAAAAGTGAAAGGTGAATTCATGCGTGGAAATGAAGTTAGAGTTGCGAGACGAGATGAAACTGTTGATTATTTTGTTTACCCTTTCTCTCGGTTCTTTCTCGGGAGTTAAAAATTCCATTCCAAAAAAAGGTAGGCAGATTTTCATCGGCTTGTTCGCTTGTTGCCATGTCTAGTCTAACTTTTTGCGGAAGTTTTCACCGTTTTTTAATGAAAAATGCTGAAGTCACTTGCAAGGCATTTGTTTGCAGACGTCACCAGCGTGTACAATGGGAAACTGAAGCACGCTCGCGCAATTGAATTTGATTGCTTAACAATTGGTTCATGCTTTAACGTGCACTATCGAGTTATGGAGGAAGAGGGAAGTTTTGCTTCTTGAGTGCTCTCTAAACTTCCCACGTGTTCCATAACTCCATATTGCACAGCTAACTGCATGAACCAATTGTTTTATAGCATAGCCGATGGAATTGTGTATTAAATCCGACGCGAAAAACGGACAACAATATCAGAAGTGATTGTTCGCGGTAGGCGAAATATTAAGCAAAATAGGAATTGGTTTTATTTCCAGATTTCTGTTGAAAGCTCGAGTTTTATTTTACTGCAGTTTAAATACAAAATTCAAAGGGTCGGAAAATTGTCTTCGTTTTGGGACCGGTGGGCCGAGTCTCTGTTTGCACCATTATTGTCGCGAAATATATTATTTTTCCCCGCGCTAATAATGGCTGCTCGAGCGAAAAAAAAAAAATTCTGGCGAAGCGATTTGCTCACGTTATCAGCGTGCACTATTGGGATATTGAGCACGCGTTCGTATAATGAATTTGATTGCGCGGCTCTGCTAGCTATGTTATAAACGAATTTACAAGCTATGTTATACTTGTACTCGTGTTTGGTGTGAATGCCATGGCTTTAAAAAAAGCCCGAGTGAACGGTCCTCGAGCGTCTACTTTTTTCGATAGAAATAGCATTAGTACCTACTCAGTCGTTGATTTTGTTTTACTCAAGCTTTTAAAAAGTCGTTAATCTTGAACCAATTCTCAGGTATTATGCCCACTGATTACCAAGGTAAAAAAAAAAACAAAAAAACTCTTCGATAACTGATACAGTGCCTTAAGTGATTTACAAAAAAAACTACTATCTCCTTTACCTTTGTCACTAGGTCCTGGAATCTCTCCTCTCTCCATCTGCTCCTCACCTTTACCAGCTGTGTGAAAGCAAAGCTGTTAATAAAGTTATATAGGATTTCATTAACAGCTGCTGTCACTGTCACTGAGTAGGCTACCACATATGTCGTCAACTAGTTACCAGGGTCTTAATAAATAACCCGGCTTGCTGACCGCTATCAAACCAGAAAACTTACAAACTGGCCGCGTTAGTCGTTGAGATCATGAAAGTATTTCACTGTAGGCGAAAATAAATGCAACACATATCGGACAAATGTACAGTTTCTAAAAATCAATACATTCTTTTTACCTTCCACAGTCGACTTTTCAGGTTCAGCCTTACTTCCTCCTTCTTGACCTGTGCAATTAGGTTTAAAATTCATTGCATTAATCCAATCATTTAAATCTGACTACTTGCATTTGATGGAGGGATTGAGTAACAGGAATATAACGTGAGTTTTCCAGAGCATTAAAACAGTCAGCTGCAAACTTTATCAACTTTTGGAATCTTTGACGAAGGGACATTAATTAACGCAATTGATATTGTCTCTGTTACTGCTGATACTGGATGAGTGCGTAACCATGGCCGGGGTGGGAAGGAGGGGAAAGAACAATTACAACGATCGAAGGAACAAAAAAGGTGATCAAATGTTAACAAAATGTCTCTCAACTTCTAGCCAGGCGCAGCAAGTAGGCGTGGGGCTAATCTAATTATTCCCCTCGGAATATGAACCCCTGTAACGTTAACTTCATCAAAACAGCAAACCAAAATTGATTAAATGTTAAGCTGCTGCTCGTTTTTCTAGAACTACCTTCTATTGAAAGTTTTTGATATTATGAAGGTATTATGCTCATTGAAACCCGCCATAATCCCTATATATTTCAACTGTTGTATCAACAGCTATAAGGTACACCGATGATGACTGTCCATCATTAAGGAAGGGCTCTTGCAAGCACCTCAACCTTCGGTCTCTTCTGTTTTCTGTCTGTAGATCCATCATGATAATTAATTCCATATAGAAGAGTACGTTAATTAGAACTAAAATTTTCACGACAAATAGTGTGACAAGTTTCATGGCTTAAGCATGAGGAGTTTAAAAGTGAGATGGGGCTAGCGGTAACCCACGTCTTCTCATGTTTGCCATCTTGGATTTTTTCAAAATTTTTAAGGTATCTAAAATGCTTACTTTTTGTTTAAGTATCATTAAAAAGAGTTACTATTTGTCTCAGAGTATTTTTTTGGTGTAAAAATAGTTTTAAACACCTAAACCCTTAGTTGAGAATCTCACTCATTTTAAAAATTCAGATGGGTTGCCAAGACTGTAATTCTGTTATGCATCAATGAAATACACTCATATTTAACAAGCAACTAGTT